ACACAAACACACACTACACAGTACACACACCTATAGTCGACACACACACTACTTTGCATACACACACACACAGTTGCACACCCGCCGGTACAGCCGCCCATCGTCGGTCCGCCATCCGCTGCCGGTCCGATAGCCCGTCGCCGCGGCCGGCGACCTCCAGACACGAACACGCCACTGTGAGCCAACAACCAGCCAACTATGCCGTTCGCCGGCAACCTCTAGACACGCCGTCGCCGCCACACCGTGCCTGACCGACAGTTTAGGCATCTCCGCGCCTCCGCCAGTCACAACCACGCAGCCGGACGTTGTGTAGATCCGAACATTTCCACCATCCGCCTCCACCACGAATCTCTTATATACTCCAGCAATTGATCGGCGCCGTCGGGAACCCACCGTCAGACTTCGCGAAGCTCCCACAGTCACATACACACTTCGCCGCCATCTGGTCCGACGTCCACAGCTCTACAGCCGGCGTTCTCTCCCCATCTCCTTCGGCGGCCGATTTCAACCATCCCGACTGAAAGTTTACGTCGGAGCTCCGGTCGCAGCGGGAGATTCTCGAGGACACACGGCAGATGGCGCTGAACACAATGAAACCAGATGTCTCCTCCGGATAGGGCTGATTGGCGCATGTGAGAGTGGTGGTGGAGATGAAAATCAATTTGGGGGATTAGGGATTTTTTTTTCTTTAATTAAATATTTTTAGGGGGCTATTTGCAATTGAATGAATTTTGAATATACTTCAATTTGGTTCATGTGCCTAATGTGTAATTTCTAAAAACTAATAGATGGGTATTAATGATAAATAAAATACACAATGTGTGGTAAATTTTACCATTAAATATAAATGCACATTGTTGATCGACACATTGCATATTAATGGTTGACATATTGCACACTAAAATATTCTCAGTTATTTTTACTATTATCCGTTATTTTTTACTATTAAAATATTGCACATTAAAATTTTATATTCTCAGTTAAAATATTCTCAGTTATTTTTACTATTAAAATATTGCACATTAAAATTTTACTATTATCCGTTATTTTTTTTTATTTTAAAATATCGATCGTCTTGGTTAGATATCGAAATTATTTTTTTTAAATAACTGAACCGATTAAATTATATAAAAATATTATTTTTTATATTTATATATAAATATATTGGATATTTTCAACCATAAATAGTATAAAAAAAATTAAATAAAAATGTTAAAAATACCAAATATATATTCATATTTAGTTTATTTCGGTTAACTGACCGAATGACCTGGTCATTTTAGTTCGATAGTAGTTTAGTTTGATACGAATTATTAAGAACGATTGCCCTATGAGTGCACAATATTGTTGGACAAATTGAACATTAACGATTGTCGGACTGCACTATAAAGACACATTAAAATTTTTGGCTCAAAATTTTATATTTCGATTTCATTATCAGTTTTTACTTTTAAAATCGTTGTAATTTCAGTTTAACATCAGTATTATTTTTCAAACAGCAAGATCATTATATTATTTTTCAAACAACGGGAAACCAAAAAAAAAAACCAATAGAACTATGTGAAGATCATTATATGTAGTTTGGTGTTAATCTAATTTGGGACAAACGTTTTTTTGGTTCAGACTGCACATTAGTACCGAAATTGTGCACAATTGTGCTAGGTTAATTGCACATTAGTGCCTATCATATTGCACATTAATTAGCAGTCAAACTAACATGACTAAAACGTTCGATTCGAAGCTTTAATATCGGTTGGATTATATGTTTTTAATTTATAATTTTCAATTATTTCGGTTCAATGCCGGATTTATTTTTTAAAATAATTGAAATATATAAAAAAAAATATCATTTTGTTATATATACATATTAGGTTTTTTCAATAAAGACCAGATATAGAATATTAAAAAATTAATATATTAATATATTATTTGTAGTACAAATTATTTTGTTATTTATTTTAATTCGGTCACCGCTCAAATAAATCGATTATTTCGATTTTAATTTGGTTTAAAAAAATCATTAAAATATAATTGCCAACCGACTGCACGTTAGTGTTGGACGGATTGCACATTATTGATTTTCATATTGCACTATAGCAACCGGAATCGAACGAACTAAATTTGTTGGTTCGAATTTTATAATTTGGTTCGATTATATGTTTTTACTCTTAAAACTTTGTTACTTCTCATATATAAAAAATATTATTTTGTTATTTATATGTTGTAGGTTTTTACGACCGAATTTAATATAGAATATTTTAAAAAAATAGTAAACTAATTCAATATATTTTTATAATATAAAAATATAAATTATTTTGGTTATTTATGTTAATTCGGTTAACCGATCAAATAAATCGAGAATTTCGTTCTGCTTTAGTTTTGGGTTGAGGCGATTCATAAAAGTACATATTCCGCAATTGCGTTAGACTAATTGCATATTAATAACTACCAGATTACACTATATCGGACGAACCCGACCAAACTAAGTGTTCGGGTCCAAATTTTATACTTTTGTTCGATTATCTGTTTTTAGTTTTATAATATTGATTATTTCGGTTCGATGTCAGCTTTATTTTTCAAAATAACCAAAGCGATCGAACATTATAAAAATATATTAGGTTGTTCTTATTTGTTTTAGAGCTTTACAACCAAAATTAATATAAAATAGTAAATAAAAAATTAAACTAATAAATGCATTTTTATAATATGATTCTAATTTGTTTCGATTATCTGTGTTGATTCGGTTAATATTAATGTATTTTTATAATATACATTCTAAATTATTTCGATTATTTATGTTGGTTCGGTTAACCGATAAAATAAACTGACTATTTCATTCAATTTTAGTTTTGATTTGGGGCAAATCGTAAATAAAGCATGCAACTTGTGTGCACAATAGTCATATACAACTTGCACCTTAATGGCTACCGAATTGCACTATAGTTACTGAAACTGAACGAACTAAATTTTTCGGTTCAAAAATTTTATTTAGATGACGGATTTTTATTTCTAAAATAGCTGAATTATTTTAAATATAAATAAAGATATTAAAATCTTAAATATAGACCCACTTTATTGAGATTCTATGAAGTATCCGTATGATATATAAAGTTTTCAAAACAACCCCAAAACTTAATCTAATTTACAAGAATGAACCCCCCAAATCAGCTTCCACATTTCAAATCTTCCACATTAAAAATCGTGAATTTCAGAATCGAGACACCGACACCAGCGCCTATCCAGTTGAACATCAATGACATCATGACTTCCGGCGTCAATATATACAGTAATTAAGACGGTCGGCGGAGGAGGAGGAAGATACGCAGCTGAGGTGGGCCACGACGGGCCGGAATTGGAGCTTAACAACGGCAGCAAAGCAGCTCACCATTGAAGTATGTCGAATGTGGAGACTATCAACTCTCCGATGAAGTGTGTTGACTGCCGAGAACAGCTCCGTCGGCAGCGGGCGGGCGGCGTCCTGGCCGGCGTCGGAGAGGATGTGGTAGGCGGGAGATGATGCCAGCGCCGCCGACGGGGGATGGGGAATTAGGGATACGAAATGTTCTGCCGAGTGAAGGCGGTGTACTGCCGGCAGCGGATGAATTCTGGTGGTTGAGGACTGGTGGCGGCCGGAATTTGTGTGTGTATGTGTGTGTGGGTGGGTGGGTATGTGACGGGAGGGTAGGTGATTAGATTTAAGGTTGAAGGTGGTGGGTCCCACATGATGGTGTGTTGTAATAATGTCTAAATTACCATTAATTAATGGTCAAATCTATATATTTGACCACTATATATCTACTTATTTACTATATTGCCATTAATGATTGACCATGTTTTGACTTCATCATGACCATTAATGTGTTGGATTCCATGGTTCAGATTTATTCTCATTTCTTTCACTATCTATCATTCTCATGTGATCCCAACTCTATATATATATATATATATATATATATATATATATAAATAGAAGTGCGTTCAAATGAGAATGCATCACAATGAAAGAAATTAGAATGAATCTGGATCATTGAATACAGCATATCAGTGGTTAAGATAAAGTAAAAATTTGGTCAATCATTAATGGCATGATGGTAAATAAATATACATATCCTGGTCAAATGATTATAGTTGACAACTAACTAAGGACAATCTGGTCATTACCTATTAAACATTAACTAGTATGACACCCGTGTACTACACGGGTTGTTTGAAAAAAAAAAATATAAAACATAAAATAATAAAAAAAACACATATGTTGTTGTATAACTATTTCAACTCTTTAAAATATATTAGAAAGATCATAGTATATTCTATAACTATTTCAATGTATTTTTAGAGATATTCTAAAAAGATTTAAATAATTTATTTATGGTTGGATTGAAAAGATATAATATGCAAGTGGCTATATATTTTTTGTAAAATTATTTAATTTAAACTATATAAAAAAAGTTATTGTTTACATTAGTTATATAAATAAAATAATATATAAAGCTAATTTTTTTATTTTGGTTTACACGACAAGATAAGAATCCTAAGATGTAATGTTGTCAAGTAATTTGGAGTTGGAGGACACGACAAGATAAGAATCCTAAGATGTAATGTTGTCAAGTAATTTGGAGTTGGAGGATTTACAAGGCATATAAGAATCCTATTTATTTGGGAAGTCTTATAAGATAAAGAATCTTGTTTAATTTGGAGTTGGAGGATTTGACGACATATAAAAATCTTATTTATTAAGTATTTTATTTTAAACAATTAGGGAATATATCCGAACCAAAAGCCGAAGCATGTAATGTTGCCAAGTAAGCTTCCGAAGCGTGCGAAGCAGCCAATTAGGCTCAGCACATTTTCAAATTATATTAAGAGGGGATTCACTCACCCCTACCCACCAGCCACCCACCCACCCACTTGCAGCTGGACCCACTCATCAATTGGTCATTAAACTCATTCTCGTCATTAAACATTCTCACACACACACACACACACGCAAATTCACCGGACTAGCAGTCCACCTCCACCAGCCCCGCCGGCTGCTGCGGGTCACAACCTTCCTCCCCCACCGCCGTCATCCATCCACCACGACCAGTCCTCTCCCGCCCGTCCAGCGACCACCGGAGAATAGCATACACAGCACAAAATCTCCTTCCGACACGTCGCTCACCTCCACCAGTCCCGCCGCGAGCCATAGACTTCCTCCTCCACCACCGTTATACATCCACCCCGACCTTCCTCTCCAGCACGTTCAGTGGCCACCGGAGAATCAGATATACATCAAAAAACTCTCCAATTGCTAGCCTATGTCGTCTCGAAGCTCAGCTGCTGCCGATTTCTATCTCCAACCCCATCTCCGTCGCTCACAGCCTTCAGAGGCAGCGGGAATCTGAATCTAGAGGGCCAATTATTCGAATACGGTTTTGGCCGGAGGCGACACCAACAAAATTGACCTTGAGAAGGTCGGCCACAGCATTTGCCGGCACAACCTCCGTCTTCTCCCAGGGTGACGACAGCCGCGAATTTCATGGAGAATGTCGTCGTGATTTTGGCAGTGAGAGTCGTGATTTTTCAGAATGATGAGGAAGAGGGTTGGTTTGCCAGATAGAATTGACGATGAAGAATGAAGGGGCTTGATTTTGGGATTTGTTTTTTTAAAATTTGATATTTTTTGAGGCATGTCTGTAGTTTTAAAAGTTTTAATATATTTGCATTTTAGATTTTCTGAATTTTTGCAAAATGTTGCACATTAATAGTACATAAATTGCACAATATTGTTCTATGAAATGCACATTAAAAACTCAATCATATTTTTACAGAAGTTCAGAATCGTCACCACCTCGCTTAATTTGTTTATTCGACCAAATAATAAAATTTCCATAAATAATAAATTTAATTTTATATCAATCGGTTCAATCGAACAAACCGATCCGAATGTCAAAACCGAAATAATCAATTTTAAAGTTTGAAAAAAAAAATGAACTACAAAAAAACCCAAACTTTTGTCCCAAACAAAAATTGAAATTGAAGTGAATCAATTGGTGTATTCGGTCTGTTAACCGGACAATCCTAAATTATCAATCTAATTTATTATGTATATTAATAGTATATTAAAAAAATTTATTTAATATATTTATACTAGTGCATCTGAAAATCTAAAATATATGAAATACCAAATTAATGTTGTGCACATTCACATACATAATGTGCATCTCGTTTAACATTATTGTGCAATCTATTGTGCGTGCATTTCTTTACCTGCGTCTCAATTTGAAAAAAAAATAATCATGTGTATTTTAATTAAATGATCGTGCACTTATATAATAAAAAGATTTTAGCATTAATATTTTTTATTGATTAGTCTTTATTATTTTATGTTGAAAATAAATAAATAAATAAATATATATAAACTGTAAAAATAATATATTTTTATATGCACACTTTTACGCTAATGTGCATTATTAAATACAATAATGTGCATTTAGTGCAACACTATTGTGCATTTTACATCACGTGTAATTTTTATGTGCATATCCATATGTTGTATTTGTGTATCTGACTTATCATTATTGTATACTTATTAAACTTATGATAAATTACAAATTTAACCCGGAAACTAAATTGCAATTTAGTGAAAATTTCTGAATTTGCACAATGTCCCCATGTCTTATCTAATTTTCCAAATTAGGCCTCCACCACTACAACGGGATACGTGTAACTGCCTCTCCATGTTCACCGCCTCCACGTGCCTCTCCTGGAGCTCGGCCATCACTTCCACCACCTCGCCTCTTCCCTGCCGCCGTTCAAGGTAAAGCATTTCCGCCGCTCCATCCCCCAGTACTCATCGCCGATTCGCTGAACCGGGCCATCGACTCATGGAGCTTCCCCTGGAGGCCGTCAACGACGGAGGTACAGGTCTGATCGGAGGAGCTGCCGAAATTAAGCCTAGGGAGGTGGTGTCCGACGGCGTTGGACCAATCCAGGGACTCGATGAGGTGGTTATGCAGCGGCGATTCCCGAACAAAGGTCCCTGAAAGCGGCAGAGGTGTTGAGCGTTGGGAGGAGAAGAGGTGGTTGGGGATGTTCTTCATGCCGCGGAGCTCGTCCTTGACAGCCTCCAATCGATCGAAGAAATCATCAAGGTTGTCGGAGTGTTATTTCGTCGGCGGCGACGGAGTAGTGGTGGCGAGTAGAGGCGGATTGTGTGGAGCTGACCGGCTGAGGCGAGATTTGGGGGAGAGAAACGTGAAGAAGGAGATGTGTGTGAGAGATGGAATGGTACTGTGTGAGAGAGAATAGGCCACGTGTATGTGTCTGCTAGTAGATTGGCAATTATATCCTTCATTAATGTATATTCCTGATTTATTTTTTTTCCGTTGGATCATCTGATCCGATAGATACGATGTATTTTTATTTCTTTCACTGAGCACCATTCTCACCGGAGCGCATCCCTATATATATTAAATATATATATATATATAGATTGTACGAATAAATGATGGGAGGACAACATATACTCCATGAATTGTAGTAAATAATCTTAAATGTTAATTTTAGTACTTAAATATTTTTGTACCATGAGTTTGTACCACAAGAAGTAATTTTAATATAATTAGTTAAGATTATTATTATTTTTTAATAGAGGTTACAAAAAAATAGAGAAAAAAATAAAGGATGGAAATACTTTAAAAAATAAAGAAGAAAATACTTTAAAAATCAAGAAAATACTATAATATATAATATCAATTAGTAATTACCATAAAAATGTTACAGTGACGATAAAGTAATAAAAACTTACCATATTGAGTTGAAAATGCATTTAGTGGAAAAATGTGGGGGTTTTAATGGTAGATAGTGAAAGAAATTAGAATGATTATCTACCATCGGATCGGTACGATCAATGGACATAATTAAGTCAAAATTAATTTAAAAGGTCAAATCTGCAGTTACAAAACTATAAATAGGTTATTATATCATGACCAAATAAATAGCTAGAAGGGCAGTGTTGTAATTTACCAAACAACAAAATCAGTGGGCCCGACTCATTAAATATAAACTAGTTTCTCTCTCCTCTCTCTCTCTTCTCCCCGTTTCTCTCTTCTCTCTCTTCTCCCCGTTTCTCTCTTCTCTCTCCTCTCTCTTCTCCCTCCTCTTTCACTTCTATCGCTCCTTCCTCTCTCCCCGCCAGCAGTTCGCGGGTTGACTGAAGACGCATCCAACCACCGTCGGTCATGTCACTGCCGTCGACCAAAGACGCCTCCCAGCAAAACCACCGTTCATCTCACCGCCGTAGACAGATCTGATGCCGCCACCTTACGTAGATTCCGGCGACCTTACGCCCAGAGCTTATGGTGAGTGTTCCAACGTCGACGGCCATAGCAATCGCCGCCGTCAACAAACCTCCACCTCGCGCCACCGGCCAACGCCAGCTCCGCCACCACGCGCATCGGCAAAGTTGCAGGTATCCGGTGGCGAGAGCCACCACCACCTACCGCGCTAGCCTCGCCGGACTCACTCGCCGGCACTAAGCCAGTCGCCGCCACAGATCCATCTCCGGTAGAAATACATAGGAGAAAGAGGACTTTGCATTTTTTAATTTGGGGCTCTTTTTTTGAGAATTTGAAATATTTAAAGGACTCAATTGCAAATTTGTAAACTTTGATTTATTACAATTCAATATATGGGTTAAACTTATAATTTATAGAGTTTTAAATACTTGCACATTAATATTCTGTAAATTGCACGTTAACGATCATTAGATTGCACGTTAATGCTATGTAAATTGCACATTAATATTTTTATCTAACATTTTATTTAAATTAATTTAAAAAATAATAGTTTTATAAAAAATAATATCTGTTTATATGGTTTGGTCGGTCCGGTTATTTTTGTTATTTAAAAAATAAAAAATAAAAAATGAGATCGAACCGAAATAACTAAAATTTTAAAAGTAAACACTCATAATCGATCCGATATAAAATTAGAATACAAAAAACCAAGTCAGTCGGGTTCGATCGATATAGTGCAATCTGCTAGTACTAACGTGCAATCCGTCTAACTTTAAAGTGCAACTAGTACAGAGCCCGTGCGATGCACAGGGTGCACAATTTTAAGGCTATTTATCCAGGCTTATAATTATATACATGAATAAAGAAAAATGTACGGGATATATATCATACGTGACCCGTGCGAAGCACGAGATATATTTATTTGGAGAATATTATATTATAAGATGCAATATTCAATAAAAGTTTATAATACGCAAGAAATTGTACAATGTTCAATAAAAGTTTTATAATATTCAAGTGGAGTCTTAAAGTCTCTTGTACATTAAGACTACTGACAAATAATATTTTAATCAATGACTTTCCTTTCCTTGTAGCCAAATTGTGAATGTCATTTGAGGTGTACAACAAATCGATATATAGCTGACTTGCTTTTTTCATTGTAGTTTTTTTTTTCTTTTTTTTTATTAAGAATTTAAAGATATTCTAAAATATAGCAAAAAATAATTTTTTTATTACAATTAGGAATTTACTAAATATAAACTTTCAATCTATGGTGTTAATCAACGTTTAAGTCTAAAAAATTAAGAATTTTTACCTCTTTTAATCAACGGTTAAGTCTAAAAAACAATAGAGTTATTATATTTTTTTTTTCTACATCTTTTAAACATTAAATATGGGCATGTTAGGGCTAGCTTGTAAAATAATTAATATATTATCTCACTAAAATATTTATACTAATAAAAATTTAATTTTAGCATATAAATTTATCCATTGATATAAGAGAAAGTAACAGTTTTACTTATTGTTGTTCACCATATATTACTTAATTATTATTTTATTATATAATAAAAAAGGAATATTGTTAAATAGTGTAGTAGAATTAGTATAAAATTATATGATTTTTTTTTTTACAATATGAATTTAATATTTTTTTATGATTTGATAATATAAACAAATCTATACTTAACTTTGACAAATAAAACAAATAAATATCATAGTAAGTATTTAATGTATATACTAGATAGGAATATATTTGGTATAATCATATACCAAATATAATCAAATAAGTCAAAGTGTACATTTATATTTGGTATTTGATTTTTTTATTATTAAAATCTTTTTATTATAATTACCTTTTTAAAATAAAATAAATTAATAAATCAATTAAATAAATAAAATATTATAATATCAAAATAGTAATGACATTTAATGCAGTTGACTTTTCTGGATAGTAAATATAGTAAATAGAATATCCTTTTATATAGTATAATACGGAAATAGTAATGCAATAAATGCTGTTGACTTTTCTGGCTACTTAATTTGGTAAATAGTACCCCCTTTAATATAAGTATAGATATTGAAGACATTAACGTGCAATCAGTCTAACACTAGTGCGTAATCGAAGTGCAATTATTTTTTTTATAAGAAAATATATTTCGTATTAGTAAATTTTTTAGTTAATAGTTCATATTGTTGTTTAATGAAAATAAATAATATATATAATATAACAATAATATTTTTTGATGTAGTTCGATCGGTTATTTAAAACATGTTGGTTTATAAAGTGCAACG